CTGAAAGGGGCAGAAGACCTGATGACAAAGAATGTGGAAAAGGCCAAGTACTAAATGTCTTTGTTACTTTACTTAGTGGTCAAACCAACCTTCAGGAATCTCAGGTTCCTATGACTATGGGGAAAGTCTAGGGCAAAGAAGGTTCACTATGGATGGAGAAGGAATATGTTAAGGAAAATTCAAATAGACCAGCCATGCTCAGGTCCCTATAAGATACATCCAGAGAAACTCTATGAGCTTGTTTAATGCCACTAAAGGCCACTCTCAATGAAGGTCGTGGCAAGTAGGGAAGATTCCTGAGGACTGAAAGAAAGCAAGTATAACTCTCGTCCTCAAGAAGTGCAGGAAGAATGATCTGGGAAATTATAAACTGCTCAGCCACACCTCTGCTCCTGGGGGAGGTGATGGGTCAAATCAGCCTGCAAACTATTTCCAAATGTGTCAGGGATAAGCAGATCGCTGGGAGAGGTCAGTATGGATTTATGATGAAGGGAGCCTCAGTTCATAAGGTTCTGCAAATCAAGTTCTGGACCTGGGCAGGAAGAGCTCCAGGCACCACAAAAGGCTGAGCACCAGCTGGCATGGCAGAAAAAGATGTGGCATCTTTGTGGTCACCAAGTAGGCCTTAAGGCAGCAAGGTGTCCTTGTGGCAAAGGCAGACAGTGGTCCCTGGGCTGTGTGAGAAGTGCTGCCACAGATTGAGGGGGGTGATCCTTTCCGGCTCCTCAGCCCTGGTAACACATATCTGGGTCCATCCAGTGTCTAGCTCTGAGCTTCCCGGTTCAAAAGAGAAGAGGATGCACTGGAGAGAGTGCTGCAAAGATGATAAAACAATTAGAACCATGTGTAATTCTAGGAGAGGCTGAGACTATTCTGCCCGGACAAGAGAAGGCTTGGGAGCCATAATTTATGCATAAATGCCACATAGGAGGTTGCGAAATAGAGCAGAACTTTTCCCAGTAGTAATGTGCCATGAAAGGACAAGAGGCAATGGACAAAACTTGATATTCAGGAAATCCCATTTAAACACAAGAAAAAGCATATTTAGTGATTAAACACTGAAGACTTTACGCAGAGAGATTCTGGAGTCTTCATCCTTGCCCATATTCCAGTCCTAAGAAAACTGCTCACTTTCTATGATCCTGCTCTGAGCAGAGGGATCAATCAGACAATTTCCAGAGCTCCCTGTCAGTATCAAATATCCCTTGACTCTGGAAAGATTTGCAGCACTCTTGTAAAACCTGGACAAGTGGTAAAACTCCCCACAGTACAGCAGGACAATGCAGCTCTCACTACATCAGTGTGAGAATCACCAGCATCGCCTGGCTGGAATCACATGTGCCATCACTTTTATTGGCTTAGCGTCCAGATCCCGAACGTGCCACTGCAGAATGCAGTGAAATTAAAAATGCATATGGAAGGAAGACTGCTGGTGAAAGAGTATAGCTGGCTTTGCTTCACAAGTTCCAGCACAAAAGGGAGTAGGCAAAAGGGAGTAGGCTGGGCTCGTGACTCTGGTGCCACCATACATAAAGGCCTGTCCACAATTAAGATAAATCTTTACTGAACACAGTGGAATGCTGCTGGCACTGCCAACTCTCTCTTCCCATGCTTTCTTCTAATTCCCTCAAAGAGATTTTGGCTCAAAACTTTCCTTATTTGCACTCTGGACAGAAGCAAAGTGTTTTGGATCTCTTCAGCAAAATGTGCTGGTTTTTAGTTCTCCAATTTGGTGCAAATTACACCCAAATAAAAATAGTTCCAGAAATGAGCTCTGACTGTGAAGCATTTTTGACCAAATATAGGGAGAGTTTGCCTGCTTGATTTTAAAAAAAGGCATAAAATGTGCTGAATCTAATGATCAGACTGATTATGGCCCAAATTAACACACAAAATTCCATGTAGGAAGTCAACATCTGTAGCCATGCAGCTATATCAAGACCTGAAAAGGGAAGAGATTTCTTTTGCAAAATGTATTACACATCTCTAAATACCATCAATCCAGTTAGAATATAAAATAAAAAAGTATTTTCTGATTTTCCTCCATTTAAAATAAAAATACCAAGAGTAGTTTAAATAACAAGAAAAGGTATATGTAATCCTACAGTCACCCACAAACCATGATCTTGCTTGATGAATTTATGACAAAAATTGTTTTTTCAATGGTATTTCATTAATGGAAAGATTGCACTTTCCTTACAAAAAAAAAGCCTAGCTGTTTTAAAAATAAATACAGGGTGAAAAAATCTGTAAAGGAAATAAATTAAAGTCTTCTCTCCCCTTCTAACTGGGAGACCCTTAAATATCCTACTACCATTTTAATACAACCTTGTTCTGTAGTTTATAAGCTACTGATAGGATATACTTTCTTCACAGGTGGTCAGAAGAGGGCAAACCACCACAAAGTCATGATTTATTTCCATTCCTATAGCTTTTTTTTTTTTTTTGCTTCTCTTTTCCTATTGCTCCTTCTAACCTGCCTTGTATGAGCACTTTCCTGAAACCTTTTCTCAGTAATTAACAGCAGTACAATTACAAGCAATGTTTAAAACTGATCACAAGGTATTTGTCCATCTTCACTGCTTGCTGGCATAAAAATAACTCTTCAACATAATTATCTATCACATACAGCAATCTGCATAAACAAACAGCTGAATTAGCTTGCTGGAAAACAATGAAAGCCTGCATTCACAATTGCAATATGCACTCAGGAAACCTCACATATCTGTAAAAATTGATCTGTTTTCTGCAATGTATCCTGTGATGCTACTTCTCGTTTAGATGCTTAATAAGAAACAAATGAAACAAACAAAACAAATATATGAACAAAAACCCACAAAAAAACTTCATGCAGCCAAATAAGAGTGTAATCAAGAATTGTGCTGCTAAATGTGGGAGGCTGGCACTATCCTTTGAACAGAACTATTTGGAAGAGCAGATGAGAACAGAGCACAGACTGGTATCAGAGCCAGAGAGTAATTAGAGACAATTTCAGAATCAGTCCAAAATCCCCACAGAAGACAGGGAAGCTGTCTGGCTTCAAAAGTATGATGGAAAAGCATTAGAAGAGCACACTGGGTGCTTGGAGATCAAGCCATGTACACATAAGCCAAAGATCAAGGGTGTTCATTTAGGCACAAGGCTCCCGGGAGTGCTGCAGTATAGAAATGTTGGCAGTCAAGACACAGAAAAGGAGGGAACTGGGAAAATGAAAGGAAAAAGAAAAGCAAGATTCCAGTAAACTTGGGAAAGCATTTTAGTAGTGTCATGAAAGCTGAGAACAAAAAAGCTGAGAAATTAAGAAGAACAGGGATCTGTCCTGGTTCTGCAGTGCTTCTGGGCTCTGGGGCAGTGCTGTGCACAATTAAGACAGTCTGGGGCAGGAGGGCAGGAACAGAAAGAAATTGATGGGAGGGGAAACAAATGACACAAAACCATCTAAAGACATGTGATTTGAAGCTGCTAGGATTCAGTGTGTGTGGAAGGAAGGGAAGAAGCTCTGTCCTCTCAGAGGATCTTGCTCCTGGAACATGTCAGAGCAGCACATATGTCTGCTTATGTGGGCTGCTCATCACTGAAGCTGTGATGCAGCAACCAAAGCCCAAATATCTGCAACTGGCCTGCTGGCAGAACAGTAGCTACCTGCAATAGATGCAACTTGGACTTGGACCTGGCATATATTTTTGTCAGAAACATCAGTGCAGCAGGTCCAAATGTGATCAGAACTTCAGCAGTGGAGCACAGCAGAGCCCTGGTCTTAGCCTACAGAAAGACATGACCAGAGTCTACACAACCAGGGCCTGCTTCACTGTTCTTTGTGACAGCAAGTTGCACAGAGCAGTGATACTGCAGGAAGACTGCAGGTTACAATCTTCACACACTTCTGAGCAGACATGGACAGCCACCTTCCCTGACATCCCAGCTCTCACATTGGGCATTTGGCCCTTGTTATGTTAAACTTGTAGCCACAAACTTCCTGTTGCAAGTACAGAAATTCTCACAGACTCTGAATAAAAATGCTTTTAGTGTTTAAGTAAGTATTTTCCTTGCCTGGTCTAGATCTTTCATCTTTACTAAAGCAGCATGCACTGAGACTGGAAAACCACACATGGATGCTGACACCAGTCTCAGCTTTCCCCCTTTCCCAAAGGTCATATGGCTTATGGTGGAGGGGATGTGATGCTTCTCTGGGAATTAGCACCTATCTTTTTTAACGCTGATCCTAATTTCTTCCTTTTCCTGGAGCTAGAATAAAGAATGGGAGTCATGGCAAAACAATCGCGGCAACACCTAGCCCTAGTCTGAAATGTAGATGATAACATTATTGAGTTGGATGTGCTGCTGGATGTGCCTATAGAGTCCTGCTGACTGCTAAGAGGCAGAAATGAAGTGGATTTTCCCCATCTGAGCCCACTGTGCTGCTCCGAAATAGCAGCAGTTACAACTTCCTTGAGGAAGCGCAGTGAAAGAGGTAAGGAGGTGCAGGAAGAAGAGAAAGGTGAAATTGTGCCTTTCTTTTTCCCTTGCATTTATCAAGTCCCTTAGATTCACACAAGTTGGCATATTCTTCTTCTGAACGTGTCCTTGAAAGGTTAATTCAAGCATTTGTGCAGCTTCAGATGTGCTGTTTTTAATCTCAGTTCCCTATTGCTCCTCTTGCACTGGTTGCCCAGACAATAAACGTGTGAATGCCTATGACCAGGTCCTACTGTGCATGCACTGTAGTTGACTCAGTATTTTTACCTCTGCATACTACAAATATGTCTGTAATTAACAGATATTGCAGTAAGCACGCTCACTGTGAGCTCTTTGCACACTGAGCAAAAACAGTTTCCTACTCTGAAAAGGTTTTCCTACTAGGGTACAACTATCAGGGAAATGCTGAGCTCTGTGTCCACTACAGTAAAAATACTGACCCCTCTTTAAACTGAGGCAAGCATTTGTAAAATGCTTCTAAACAACGGGGGAAGGATGAGTTCAGGTTGAATGGCATCACATACCAGCTCCAAATGCAAAGAAGAAACTCTTGTCTGGCTGCTCTTCCAGCAGGTCCTTCACCCTCCTGCCCATTCGCTCATTTCGTTTGTAGATGAGCTCCTGACGGAAGTAGCTGTCTATTTCTTGGGCAGTAATGCGCTCATGGGCTGGAAGTGTAGCATTAATGAAATTTGGAACCTAAGGTAGGAAAAAAAAAGTCTTCATGAAAGGGGAATTTGTTTCACAGGCAGCCATTATGCACAGGCACTTTTGCTCCACACAGAGTGTAGCAACTGCCTCATCCCTTAAGGCACAGCCAGTAGGACAAAACCCAAAGCAAGCTAAAAAAATACTTAGCAAACTTCTAATTATGCATGGCACTTCATTTCTCTCAATACATCATTTCATAAGCTAGACAGATAGATTTTTTTAAATTCAAAGTCAACAAATACTATTATTTTGCCACATTGAAGATCCTAAATCCTGGTTGCTCAGTTGAAGTAAGTTTTGCCCCTAAATGCCTTTAGCTACATACCTCTTTCTTAAATTGCCATAGGTATGACATAACTATAATGATAATTATGCTCTTCTAAGAGAATTTGACTGGTATCAGAGCCCTCAGGCTGACAAAAAGTAACAGTGCAATTTGAAGTAGTTAAAAAAAAATCTCTAAGAGGGACAGATTTTCTCAAGAAAGAACGTGTTGCCACCTCCAGTTGCTCTGTCCTGACGGTATCTTTTAAAATGCTGGCTTCCTCCCCTGGGGCTCCCAAGGACAGCTGTGGCTGCACACCATCCTGACCTCTTGCCAGCAGAGAGAAAATGTGGGTTGCAGCAATTCTAGCTTCTTGACAAGTAGCTTTATACATTCAGTTATGGGGATTGTTAACTAAAAGTCTGCAAGCAGTGATTTCTGGAGAGCAGAGCCACGAATAAGCCAGGTGCTTTCCCTTGCAAGGCTGGGAAAATGCAGAGACTTTGGAGTCCCTCAGAGAGACTATTACAGAATATTCCCAAAGGGTAGGTAGCCCACATATTCTGGGCAAGCATGGAGTCAAATACAGCTTACTGAGAAGTTCTACTTAAAATATAAACTGACAGTGTGGCAAACTATCAGTATTCAGCTCTGCTGCCAAAGAGAATGTCTGGAGGTGGAGCCCCTCACATTAAATAAAGGACAGCTTTTCCCTTGGCAACCTGCCTGTCTCATGGAGCTGCTCTCTCCAAGGACCTAGGGGCAATGTCTGCAGTCTGTAATATCTCCACAGGACAGTGATGCAGCATCTGCATCCTCTTAAAAAGCTGATCTCCTCTGAGAAATCCTTCGAAACCTATGCATGGAGTGTAAAAGCTAGGCAGTATTGATGACCAGATGCCTGCACCTGTGGGAGGGTGGGTGTGTGGGATGGGAAGACAGCAGCACACACACAGAGCTGGGCACCAGAGAAGCAGGAGTTAGTATGACCCTGCAGCTCTGCACCGTATGTTTCAAAAGGTCATAGCAAAACGGTTATTCAGCACAGAAAGCTCAGGTATCAACACTTATTCAGCACTCTAAGGATGGAGCCTGTGTTTTCATTGACATGCACAAATTGCCAGGCAATACCTCACAAACAAGAACAGAGAGGCCTGATGTCTCAGCCTGAGGTTAGTTAATCTAACAGCCCAAATTGGTCCCTGCTGGGCATTTTCTCATGGTTTAAAGATCAGTGTTACATTCCATTGTGCTGCTTAGGAAACCATCTCCATAAACCCAAGTCTGTGAGGTCTCAGAAGGTCTCTTTTCCTTCACATTCAGTCTAAATCCATCTTTTCTTTGTTTCACTCCATTTCTCTTCTTTGGGCCGTGTCCACAGCACACAGTCATACTGATAGGGGACATTAAAAAGCTTGTAACTCACCCAGCCTTACAAAAGCGTCCAAATCACGAGTGCATTTCTCTGTTTTATTTGCACAAGAGAGCCTGCTGCTGCCTTCTGTTGGCATTAGGTTTGCTCATACCTAACCTAGAATAATTCCACAGGATCCTTAAGAAAGTAAATTATTAACTCATAGAGATTTGATGGTAAAGTGAACAAGGCACTCATCCAAAAGGGAAAGCCAGGCACACCTTCACTGCTTGGGTGCAAGAGAGGGGTTGAGGTGGTGCAGACTCCTGGAACAGGAGGCTGAGGAAAGCAAACATACAAGGGAGCCAGCCACATGCCCCTCACCCAGAAAGGACCTGCCTGAGGAGAGGTCAGCACGCATGTTACAGGGGTTAGCACTACTTGTGTGCAGTACAGGGGCTGCAGTGGCAAGACTCACTTGAGAAGTGTCATGGTTGAAGATGATGGAGCTGAGGTCCCCACAGTTGTAATGCTTGATAAGGTCTTCTGTCGTAAAGGGGATCTGGAAACTCCCTGCTCGGAGGCTCTCCTGCTGCAAGAGAGTCTGATTCAAAGCAAAGACCACCTGAGGGAGGGGGAGAAGGGAGGAAAAGACAGAGTTCCTGGTAAGTTCTCTTTTCATCCCATGAGAAGGTCGCAGACGCAATGCCACTGACTGAAGGCTCTCTGAAGCTGCTCCTGCTCTGAGCCTGCCAGTGTAGACATCACTACCCCATGCCTCCTACAGCTCCACAGGCACTCACCACACCTTAGATCCTGGCTGAGAATGGACTCACCACATTTAACTCAATGGGGTTTTGCCTGTGACCTGACTAATAGAGATGATACAAAAGGGCAGGCTGAAGCAATCTTGTTCCCTTAGACGACAGTTTGCCTGACCACCACAGAGCCCCAGGGCCTTACAGGCTCCTATCCCCACAGCTCCTCAGCCACCTACCTAAATTAAGCATGGCTTCTCCTTCCCTTCCTTCCCTTCCTTCCCTTCCTTCCCTTCCTTCCCTTCCTTCCCTTCCTTCCCTTCCTTCTTCATCTGCAAGAATAGTCACAGGCTGTTGTTTCCTGCTTTGTGTCTCCTCTCAGCCACATCTGGCTCTCTGGAGCAGGCCAGGGAAGAGTGGTGGATGCTGTGGGGCACGGGTGGCTGCCCTCCCTGCACTCAGTCTCTCCCAGCTGAGCAGCATTCCTTCCTCCTCAGCCTTCTCCTGGGAATGCAAACATTCCCATCCCCTTTGCCTCAAGGAAAACTATCCGGCTGGCACAGCTCCTACCCCCAGGGACCTCTCTGCTGCCCATGAAGAGAGAAGAACAGGGAAGATCACCCTCCAGACGTGGCTGCCTCCCCACCTCCAGCACACAGGGCTGTCCCAGGCTGGTGGCCTCAGGACTTGACCCAGACACTGGCTGCTGATCCAGCATCCCCCTGCCTTGGACACTGCACAGCCCATGAGCGTGGCAGCCACTTAAAAGGGACAAGAGAGCACTTTGGGCCAACAGGTGTCTCTGAGGCCAAACAGATGCAGAATCTCTGTGCCCCTAGCCATGGCAGACAGCAGCCACCAAGCTCCAGAAAGGCAGGAAGCCAAGGAAGGACTTGGGGTGGAAACTCCCCAGGCTGAACATGGAATGCCAGTGGGCACCTTTGGTGAGGCATGGAGCTGCAGTGCCAGCACCAATCCTCTGTCAGCACCTGGCAAGTAAAACACTGCCATCTCTTCATGCATACACTTATGCTACCCCTGGTTTTCACACCAAAACTGGACAACTTTCTGACTACCGACTGGTTTATTATTTTTATTTTTAAAGGAAGCTCAGATAGACTGCTTTGAATTTTTTCAAAAACTACTCATAAGAGTGTTATTTTGTAAGCTCTGGTTACTCTCTGTGTAATTAACTCCTCCTGGACATTTGCCTCAAACGCCATCAAAGGCAGTCTAGAACGGAAAGTATTTGCCAACACTATGAAACTCACACATGAGTAAGCATACTCAATGTACTGAGACTATGTGAACCAAATGTTGGGATTACAGAGCAGATGTGGAAGCAAACAGGTGCAACTTCCCCCCCTCCACCACCATCACAACCATCTGTCAGAATTTGCAAAGAAAGGTGCAAATTCCATCAGACTGAAAATCACGCTGTCCCCACTACAGCTTAACTTACCTCTTTGGATCCAAATCACTAAGTGTGCAAACCAATATGAAAGTACATAATGTAGCATTAATTCTGGGAGGGTGAATAGCAACATTCACTCACATCTCGTGTTTGTAAAAAGGGAAAGAATTCACTTTGTTGGTACAAACTGCCCTCAACTGAAATAACAACTCCATGAGGACACTCAGGCAAGTTACCTCAAACTAAGCAGTGGCTATCTTGCAAAGGACCTCTGTTAGATTTTAAAGTAAATTGAACAGAACCAAATTGAAACTACTTTACAAAGGTTTGCTTGTAGGCTGGGATTTATCATGCTCCAAAGTCATCATTTTCCATTTGTTTGGCTTCAGAGAACTGTTAGTGGATGCTAATGACCAGACAACATTCACTGAGAGACAATCCAAATCCATCCTGAAAATATGGGACTTCTACAGCCATGACTGCTTGGCCATGCCAGAAAAATGTCATATGTACAATCAGTACATGAGAATGGCCTATTTTTAAGCTATTGTACACCTCCTGCTTGATTATTTACCATTAAAGCAGTATGTCCTTTTCCAGTCTTCGAAACCATGACCAGACAGTCCCTGTCCAGACAGCAGTCAGGAAATGAAAAGCCTCCTGAGCTGGTCGGGTAGCACTGCCTCAAAAACATCAAAAAGGCTTTGCAACCTGTTTGATTTTTTTCCAAACACAAACCAGTAGAGGGTAACTGGCTTCTGGGGAGAAAACACCAGCCTGCTGGGTGAGACATGAGAAAAAAGACAATCTCTCCCTGCTGTAGCCCTGCAGCCTGTACTCCTGCTGTCACTTGTTCTGCAGGCTGCCCTCAGGTCCATACAGGTCTCTTCCCTCCTCCCTTGCAATGTGCTTCAGGTGAAATAGATTCAGTCTTGCCTCCAGACAGACTGAGCCTGCACTGCAGCAGCCAGGCCAAGCCACAGAGGCATCTTCCTTCCTGTGAGCACACAGTAAGCTTCAAACAGCTACACAAATCTGCCCCAAAAGCACAGCATACTGCCCCAAAAGCACAGCATAAATTTCAGTGGTGACCTACAGTTATGGAGGATCACTGCACACAGTTCATAGAAACAGAGGCAACTCACCCCCTCTTCCTCCATATCTCTAATCTTACCACTGACGTGACAAAAAACTGCCCCAGTGAGGCAGCTTTGGCAGCTCTGTGGCCTTTGCTAAGAGTGCATCTTTATTGTTGGAGGTGTGAGAGTTGATACTGGAATAAGAAGAAATTTCAGGATGGCAGCAGGTGAAGGGCTTGCCTACCCAAATGGGAAAGCACGAAAGACCTTTTACAATGAGGATGCTCATGTTTCATCTCAAAGAAAAATTGTCCCAGCTCAAGACTCCTGCATACCCTCCTAACCACAGCTGCCTGGGGACAGAGCATCCAGCAGCCTGCCTTGGACTCCATGGCCATTTTGGTGGTTTGTGCAGAAATGCATCTACTGCTTTTCTTTGTCATGGAGGACTACAAATGTTCCCTGACAGGTCAGACTCCCCCACAAACAACATCTTTCCCCACTCAGACCTGCATCCTATCACTGTACAAAATGAGGGGGAGTCACACAAGAATCACCTGAAGTTCCTGACATAGAGAGCGGGCTTCCACCTTGGTGCTGTGAGGGACAGAGATAGTCTCTGCTCTTTTGAGGACAAAGCAGCAGGTCAACTCCTTCTGCACAAGCCAAGATAAAACACAGAGGCAGAAATCAAGAGAGCATCAATGTCCTAAACAATTAGAGCTCCCTAATGAATTACAGTAGTTCATGCATCAGGCTTTGCACAGCTGGAGTACAGGAAATTCTGTTGTCAAAAATACTCCTCTCCACATCAGCTGGTCTGAACAGAGCGGTGGCATCTGCTGGAGGGGGAATGATGGCACATCCACTGAATATAGGATTACAGTTTGCCATCAGCATGAGCCTACAGCCTCTCAAAGCAATGTGATAGCTCTTCTCAATTCCTCTATCACTCCTATCTTCTTGGGGGAATTCAAATTCCTCAGCCAAAAGAGAAGGGGATGTGGGGGTAAAGGGGTAGGATCTGTTTGTGATATCAGAGGTTGCTTAAAGCTCTGTCCTGGTGAGAAGGTTATCTTCAGTAAATAGGAATGGATAAACATTGTCAGAGTCTCAAAAAAAGGTACGATTCCTGAACCTACTGTTCTTAAAGGATTTAATTTACTGAGATGGGTCTTGCTCAGAAGTTGGTAACTCATTATCTGTCATTATTTCTCAAAGAAAACATCAGACAGGTGCAAAGTGATGCTTAAAAAAACCACAGCCACCAAACTCTGAAAATTGTATCTCAGTCTTGTTTACCAGATGTGAAAAACTGAAGAAACAGAGCAGAAGCAGGGATCACAGCAGCAGCTGGTCTGAAATTGCTGTATTTGCTAGGCACAAATATTGCTTGCCTTTGGAAATCCTCATTCAGTTCTGCAGTCCTTTCCTAGCAATTCTGAGCAGTTAAGAAAACAGCAAATATGGAAAGGTTAAAAATAAATTCTTTATTTTTCTTAGAAATGAAACCTAAGAATGCATCTCTCTTGCAGGTATCTCTTGCATTACACTATTTTACTATTTCCAAGATCTTTGCTGTGTCCAGATTTCCAGATCTTTCCTGAATCCACACAAATCACTCTACATTCATCCTCCTTGCAAGACTATTCTTCCTCATTTCACACACCCCCTCCAGCAACTCCATCCTACTCTGCTCCATTAAGTGTATTCATACTAGCATCAAAGCATCTTCTGAAGAGATGTATTTGGGGAACAAAAGTAACAAGTTTATTAGAAAGGGATTTTTTTTATCTCCCACATCCCATTTTCACTGGGATCTCTGTTTCCCCCCAACCCTCTCCCTTTTTGTACTGTGGAAAAAATCGATTAAGCTCTCCAGTATACATATTGCTGCAAACCTCATTCTCCTCCTGGAGATTTCTTCAGCTGTCAGGAGACACTTGTCCCCTTTGCTAGCATTGTTGGAGTGGCCTGCTAGGCTAAGGGGGTGGGGGAAAGGGAGTTAGAGCCTGGCAGATGCCTTTTTTGTCAAAGACAAAAGACCCCCTGCCATCCTCTCCACTTTTCAGCACTTTCATCCACATTGGATCAAAGTGCTATTCTGCATATGAAAGGAACCTGGCATTATTCGCCTCAAATTAGCCTATCGCCATCCCGCTAGCCTCCAAGTCTTCCCAACAAAAGCCCTCACATCTGTTCCATCGTTTGCCTCATCTTCGGGTTTTTTTTTTTTTCTTTCTGCTCTCAGTTTTTGAGGGCCATTCAGCCCCTTGAATTATAGGCTGGGGAGCATCTTCCTTGCTCTGGGATCGCTCAGCCGGACAATTTGCTTTTAATTGTCTTAAGGAATCATGGGTTGCTTTTGGGTCCT